CCCTGAGGTGTGATGTCATGCTGACTACATGTCTTCAGACAACACTGGCTCCCTTGGCTAAGAAACGAGATGAGCACCATCCCCTAGAATCAGACACAACTGGACAGAGGAAACCTTTTCCTTTATTTACATTTTTTAATATCCAAAACATTTTTTTTTGTTTAGGTCATCTAAGTTTGCTCTCTCATAAACCCCTGCTGGAAATGTATAGGTTGGATTACTTTTTAAAGATTCTAAAAGAAGCTTGCAAGAAATCCTTTGTTTCTTAGCTCTATGGTTGCCACTTCTTTAGCTTAGTAAAATTTCAATTTTCTTTATTATTTATTCAATATTCTTTTTATTATTATATTGTTGTTTTGGTTTACTCTCCTTTCCTGTTTTTCTTGTAAAGCATAGTAAAGAAAGTATGGAAGCAGGCAAGGGACGATAGATAGATGCTCTTTCTGTTGTTGTTATGAGTTACTTCTTTTTTCTCTTGCTTTCTGCATCCTTTTCCTTTTTCCTCTTTTAAGTAGGTGACATGATTGGAAGTTAGACAAGAAAGAAAGGAAAAGCTTTCTTTTATTAAAAGGTGAGATGATCAAAAGCTAGAAAAAGTGATGGAAATAAGAAGAGGGGGAATATTAGTATAGACTTTTTATATTACAAAATGAAAGTAATAACAAGAGAAAATGTGGGATAATTGAATAATGATAGACTATAAATTAATATAAGTATGCATTATTATTAGAAATATATAAGCGGATTGAATGTAAGGATTATAATTAACTTGATTAGCTTTATTTGTATTAGAATGTATGACACCCAGGTGCCACATTGGTTCACACATTGATTTGATATTTTGATAAAAAAAAATAAAAAAAGCTTTTTTAAAAAAATTCAATTTTGGCTAAAGATATACTTTCAGATGTTTTTCATTGTGTTTGGGGAAAAAACATTTTTTTCCATAATTTCATGAAATGTAGCATTCATTCTCTCTCTCTCTCTCTCCCTCTCTCTCTCTCTCTCTCTCTCCCCATACACACACACACACAATTGAATTCTAAATTTCCATAGTTTCCTGCTGCTGAGATATATGGATTACTTTAGGTCTGTGATGGCGAACCTACGGCACGCGTGCCACAGGTGGCACGCGGAGCCATTTTAGTGGGCACGCCAGCTCAGCTCTGGGGCGCATGCGCGCGCCGGCCAGCTGATTTTCGGGCCTTCTGGGCCCACCAGAAGTAGGGAAACAGGCTGTTTCCTGCCTCTGGAGGGCCTGGGGGGTGGGTGGGAAAGGCCCGTTTTTTTTTCTTACCTGGCTCCAGATCCTCTCTGTGTATCTGGGAACGGCGAAAACAGCCTTTCCCACTTCCTTGGAGGCCCTACGGAGGCTCAAAGGGCCCATTTCCCCACTCCTGGTGGGACAGGAAGTGATGTTTTTTCCTGTCCCCAGCCTCCAGAACCTCTCTAGGAGTCTATAGGAGCCTCTCTAGGAGTCTGTAGGAGCCTCTCTAGGAGTCTCTGGAGGCTGGGGACAGGAAAAAACATCACTTCCTGTCCCACCAGGAGTGGGGAAATGGGCCCTTTGAGCCTCCGTAGGGCCTCCAAGGAAGTGGGAAAGGCTGTTTTCGCCGTTCCCAGATACACAGAGAGGATCTGGAGCCAGGTAAGAAAAAAAAACGGGCCTACCAGGCCATCATGTGCCTGGAGCGGGGGGAGGGGGTTGCGCACACATGCGCATGGGCACATGCGCGCGTGCGACCCTCCCCCGCCCCCCCTCTCCTGGCACGCGATGGCAAAAAGGTTAGCCATCACTGCTTTAGGTATACAAATAATCCTCATTTAACAACTACAATTGGGATCAGTGAAACCACAACTATGCTTATGATCTTCAGCTTTCCTTTGCTTTAAAGATTTGTGAAAGTTTTTGATGCAATGATTGGTTTTCAAGTTATTTTTCCAATATTGAAATTACAGTGAACAGTCGCTAAGTGAAACAGTTGCTAAATGAGGATTGCCTCTAGTTCAAAATTGCTCAAAATTCCATTTTAATATAGTATTGAAAAAGCTTAAAAAGTCATCCCAAAGTTGCTTTTTCAAGAGGCAACTGGACTTTCTGGTTTTTCTTTGAAGACGTTTTGCTTCTCATCCAAGAAGCTTCTTCAGCTCTGAGCTGAAGAAGCTTCTTAGATAAGAAGCAAAACGTCTTCAAAAAATAAAACCAGAAAGTCCAGTTGCCTCTTGAAAAAGCAACTTTGGGACAACCATGACCTGGATGACTGAGAATCTCCATAGATACTTAAAAGGGTATGTTTACAATATTGAATTACCAACATTCCTCAGGCTAATGTATATACTGTGGTCTAAGCTGTAGTATACTACAGTCTTTTTCATTAGGAGCATGAGCTTGAGTTGGTAGGTGAAAATAGGGTGGGACAAAACAAAGGTCATGAGATAGAAAATGGAGGAGATAGAGCACCGCTAAACTATGATTACCTGTACAGTATCTAATAGGAATTAAGTTTCATTTTACCAATTGGGTAGTGTTTCAACTACCTATATCTATATAAGTATCTATAACTATAGGCTATAACCATCCTCCAGCAAAAAAAAAAAAATATCCTGGAAATATTCCCCTTCTTTCTTTTATGCCTTGGACCATTGTTAGGATTAGATTAGGAAGGAGAAGAGAGCAGCTATATGAGGAAATGGATATTAAAAATGCCTGTTATGGAATTGTTGGAACAAAGCTGCTATGGATCCATCAGATTTGATGGTGCATAAATGTAATAATAGAATAAATAAAGTGGAACATCTTGTGACTAATCCCAAATAAGTAGGTACAAGCTCCTGGTATAAATAAATTGACTACTTCCATTTCTACACAGGCAAAAGTCTGAAATAAGATATTCTTTGGGAAAGAAAATGAGAATGACAGGGTATAAAAGATAGATCCTGTAAACACTACTTTACTTTGCAAAGATGCAATTGAACTGAAGAATGCAAGAATTGCATTGTTGTGTTATACCTATTTCTTTATTTTCCTATATAACATGTTAAGTATCATATATTAAAACAGCAACAAAAAAACATGCAGAGTCTGGCATCAGTTCCTTCTGCCCCTTTAACAATAGATCCATGCTGAGTCACATGACTGTTTCTCCCATAGGTTTGCATGGGGGGAGGGCTGGGGAGGTTCCCTCCAAAGTTCTTCTCTAAATTCTGTCCTTTTTCAAATTCAACCTTTCTTTGTGGCTTCTCCCACACCCCAACTCTGACACCATACTGTCAAGATTTCAGAAATTTACCCTGCTATTGGACAGACAGATTAGTCTCATGCTCATAAATACTTAATTTCTTTCCAACATTATGTTGGAATAAAAATAGGTGACAGGAGGTGCCTAGTTATAAGAACTGGTGTAACTAAATTGGCTCTTTCCCTGTTTAAGATGTACAGAAACTTATTTATGGATTTAACTTCCAAGGTAGAGTTATTTATTTAATTTTTTCCCTTAAATCAATTTATATTGATGAACTAGCTTTTTAAAAATACATCAGAGCAGACCATTATAGCAAGGATCTGAGGTGCTTTCAATGCATGAAAATGATATTCAGATGTGTATCCTTCATCCAATGAATCATATACAACTATATTTAGTGGTATTTATCACTATCATATATGATATCTTAATACTCTGTAATATGATTTTCCAACTTTTAACAACAAACGAATTGGATATAGCTACTGAGAGATCAGAAATCCTCTTCTCTTAGAAATGAATCAAACACAAACTTTTGCAACCTGTTTCTGGATTTCTGCTAAAGGGTTTCTTGTAATCCTATAGATGTCCTCAACGTAAAGTTGTTTTCTATCATTTAATTTCTTGTTTATCAGCTAAACTGTCGGGATCACAAATCTGTATTGAATAAAAATGGGCAGAACACATTTACTTTCTTATAAGGTTCCCATGTGGTATGGAAAACAGTAATTGGTGGCACCTCTGCTTTAGAGGGCAGCCAAAATATTTTATGCAATATACTGTATTTTTCAGAGTATAAGACGCACCGACGTATAAGACACACTTTAGTTTTTGGGGAGAAAATAAGAAAAAAGCTGATTGGCAGGTGGATCGGCCTCCCGGAATACCCCTAATCAGCTGTTCCCAGAGGTGAATTTTAGCAACAGGTTCCTTGGTTGTGAGCTTTTTTTTTTTTTTTTTGCTTTTTTTTTCTGCCTCTGAAATTTCTGAAACTCTGTTTCAGAAAAAACCATTTTTCCTGCCTCTGAAAGCCTCAGAAACAGAGCTTCAGGAAAAAAAAGCCTCTGAAGCTCTGTTTGTGGGCTTCTTTTCTGAAGCTCTGTTTGGGGGCTTCTTTTCTGAAGCTTCGTTTCTGATGCTTTTTTCAGTCTCTGAAATCTCCATTTGAGAGGCGGGGCGGGGCTACATTCGGAATATAAAACGCACCCAGATTTTCATCCTCTTTTTTGGGGGGCAGGGGGGGGAAAGGTGCGTTTTATACTCTGAAAAATACAGTAGCTATTTTATGTGTTGGAAGAGAACTCATCCCTTGCGTGAGGATTTCTCATGCCTTAAACTCAGATCTCTCTTTTGGACTGCTATGGAAGTGGAGGTGAACATTTGGGTGGCCTGGTGAAATCTAATTGGTTTTGGACAGTGACAAAAGTTAAAACTGAAAAAAGAATGTGGAGAATAAGAGAACCAAAAGTAAGGCAACACCAGCAAGACATTCAATGTTTCATGATAAACTTGTTTGATGACAAGTACATGAAACTGTTTGCAATCTACAACCCTGCACCTACATCTCTCGCAAGCTCACAGACACAGAGAGACAATAGGCAGCATGGGAAAAGGAGGCATTTGCAGTGAAATGGGCACTGCTAACCTGGCGACATCTGGTGGCAAGGGGGTACCCGCAGATTGCAACAGGGTTGTAGATTTCAAACAATTTCATGTATTTGTCTTTTTAATGACTGAGTATGTACTTCTGTTTCACAGCTCTCCATACGATGACGAAAACAACAGGACAGTGAAGATACACATTTTGAAGTTACTGTGCAACCTTTAAAAAAAAAAGATTGGCTGAGAGCGCGCTGCAAAAGACTGATGAATTTCTCCTGCTTTTTACTCCTTCCAAGCACTAAGTTCTGTGGAGAAATTGCTGATTTCAGAGCATACTCCAGAAACTTTAACAAGTTGCTGATGCTACCCTAAATGATATTTCTCTTTTGCTGTCTGCCTCAACCTTAACTATTTGCTACCTGTAGGTGCCAAACTCCAGTGTGACTTTGTTCGGTACTGAAAAAAACATTGTGTTGTGTTCTTCTAGGTATGGGTGGTATACTAAAACTAACAACATTGGAGATGACAGTATTTCCGCATTATATTCTTTGTGGTTTCTTCTCTTTATTCCACCAGGATAGACACCGAGAGAAATGAGAATTTCACTTCTTTTCCTTAATAGAGTTGATTTTTCTCCCTTCATACATCATCACTTCCATGCCATGTTTTTGTACACAGCTTTACTGATGTGCTACACAGTCCTGACTGTGACTGAAGCATATGGATTACACATTAGAATTGCTGTTATATTTTTCATGTGTTTTATCATAACAAAATATGTACTTGGAAATAAAAAGAAAATGGATAAGAAAGAGCAAAACATAGTGGAATGGATGCACAGCTTACTGGACAATATTCAGAATCAGAATAATAGGGAAGAACAGTTTTAATATCTTGGTTGCCCTTCAAGAAAACTCCAAAATATAAAAAATAATTAGAATAAAGAGAAATTCTGAATAAATCCAAATCAAAATGTGTGTGTGTTTTCTCTTCTTTTTAATACCCAGTTTATTTATTTATTTATAATTTAATTTATATACCACCCTTCTCCCGAAGGACTCGGGGCAGTGTACAGCCGATTAAAAACACAAGGTACAAACAACAGTTTTAAAATAGTTAAAAATATTAAATAATTTCGACCTGAATTTAAAACCCAAAATTTAAAAGACCCAATTTAAAATCATTTACATAGATAGCCCTGCCTGGCGGAACAGCAGGGTCTTAAGGGCATAGCGAAACACACGGAGGTCGGAGATCTTGCTTATTTCTGGGGGCAGTTCGTTCCACAGGGCAGGAACTCCCACAGAGAAGGCCCTTTCCCTGGGTGTCACCAGCCGACGTAACTTGGCCGATGGCACCCTGAGGAGTCCCTCTCTGTGGGAGCGAATTGGCCGGTGGGAGGCTATTGGTGGCAGAAATCGGTCTCTTTAATGTATTACCTATCAAGAAATCTTTACTGAATATCTTTTAAAATGGAGGGTCTTGCTTTTGAATAAGAGGGAAAGAGAAGGAAACTTTTTTTTTCAGTAAGAGTCATAAGTTTGCTAATACAATTTGGAACCAGTCTGGAATTCCAAGCACTTTATTCTTTCCATCTATGTGTAGTCTGATAGACAAAGAAGGAGTATGGATCAGGTGTGAAATGCTCCTGGTTTGGACCGGATCGCCGGATCTGGTAGCGATGGCAGTGGGTGGTTCAGAGAACCAGTAACAAAAATTCCTGCCCCTCCCCCATGCCCAGCTGAGCCGCGTGATCATCAGAGGCTTTTTTTTTTACTTTTAAAAGCATTTTTGCCAAAAAAAATGCTTTTAAAAGCTTTTTAAAAGCCTCTGACGATCGCGTAGCTCAGCTGGGATCGTCAGAGGCTTTTAAAAGCATTTTTTTCTACAACCAAATGCTTTTAAAAGGCTCTGACGATCCCAGCTGAATTGCCTGATCATCAGAGGCTTTTAAAAGCATTTTTTTTTACAACCTCTTCGGTGGAAGAGGTTATAGAAAAAATGCATTCAAAAGTAAAAAAAAAAAAGTTGGCCATGCCCACCCAGTCACATTACCGCCCACCAAGCCACGCCCACAGAACCGGTAGTAACAAATTTTACATTTCACCACTGGTACGGATTTGTGAAGAGTAAGCAAAACACTTCGGATGTCTGAACACATCATAACTAGCTATGAGGTACAATTGTAAAGTTATCAAGCTTAATTTCCCCACTTTGTAGAAAATTGTCCACCATGAGATGATCCTGATCTTAATTGGTTGGGTTATACCACTCAATACTCCTTGAGTGGAACTCACAGCTAAAGCACCATTCAAGCACCAAAGAAGTGAAATAGTTTCTCTCTTCTAAATTTCCACCTCCCCCTTTGATAAATAAACACTGTCTAACAGGAAGAAAATGGTCCAACCCTGTAAAAACGTATAAACTAAAATTAAATTAAGCACTAGTAAATTTGGCCACCTGAGAAGACTTCACAAATGGTCTTAGAAGAAGCTGGCAATTCCTCTTAAATGCTCCTAACTGAATTAACACTAATTCACCACCAACCAGATAAATGAAGAACTGGAAATGGATGATCTCTGTTGCTGAATAGCAGCAATACTGTAAAAAGAGAATGGCAGCCATGCATGCATATACCAATCTAGCAGTTTTCAGTGCTTTTTTTTTTTATTAGCTATAAATTGATATAGTTATTTTGCTAGGCCACATTTAAAGAATCCACTAATTTCTTTCAGATCCCTAAAATAGTGTGCCTTAGTATAAGAGCTGTCTATATCAATTAGTGATAGAGAAACAATATATGGCCAATAAGAAGCACATCCTGGTTTTTATTCAGGGAACGTGCAAATAATCAGGCATTAGCTTGTATTCACCAATGCTAATTCAATTTCCAAGTCACAAAATAATCCCCAAAAGGAGAATGAGAAACGGAGCCAAATGGAAGCTAAAAGTTGAATCAGTAACAGGTTAAAAATGAAAATCTGATTCTCAGACCTCTGGATTCAGCATAAACTGAAAAACAAGCAATTACAATAGTGAAGGAGCACAAGTTTAAGAGTTCACACATAATAACAGAGCTCTATAAAATTAATCCTCAACTGCTTGTTCAAAGAAACAAACCTTCCATGATTATTTCTCAGGTTTCCAACATCAATTCTGTGTGCAAAGTCTACAATGATCAGTGAACCTGTTATTGATGCCCCCCCCCCCAAAAAAACCCACACAGGGCTAAACTGTATTATGAAATGCTCATTTCACATGTATTGAATTACTGTTTGGCTTAAGAGTTATAGATTCATTGGGAAGAAAAATATCTGATTTACAGCATTGTTCATTTTTTGCTGTGGACAAAAAAACTGAGATGATTCTCTACATTTAAAATACATTTCCATTGGTACTGTAATTGTGACACATTTGTGGAATAGTGTGCTCTTTTTGTTCTGAGCATTTCATTTGATATTATCCAATATAGGTCCAAAAAAGTGTTTGTATACTGTTCTTGAAATAAATGCTGTCTATCAATACCTTTTCCAACAGAAATATATGCCATTTTCATGAATGGATGTCATCCAGTAAAGAAATGAAACAGTAACACATAAAGTATTATCAAATCTTTTAAATAAATACTGCATGTAATACGGTAAAATTGCAAGATTTTATTCACTAGCCATCTGTCCAAACCTACTAAGCTAAGAGAAACTCTCCATATATTTCTATAATATCTATAGATTGAAGGTACCCTGGGGGTAGCATGTTTGGAAGCTGGTGAGTTTGAAAATGAGCTCAAAAGTTCACTCCAATGTTTCCAGGAAGTCATTGGAACAGAAGGCTGGCAACAGATGAGTGTTACAAGATTAAATTTAGGATAGCAATTACACTTTTCTTCAATTACCCAGAGAATCAATAAAAAGAAGTTCCATTACCTTACCTCCATAATGGCTAAGATGGGCAGTGTTGATGAATAAGGAACACTTGCTAATTGTGAATTTGGGGCCAAAACCACATTTAATTTACCCAGTATCTCTCGCTTTAGTTTTAAAAGTTCTTGTTACATTAGGGTGCATCATAGCATTTCGCATTTCAAAGAGCAAAAAATGAATCTATATTAAGACAGAATTTGGAAAGGGAGAAAAGAAACATGACAAAATGAAGATAGATGATACTGCCAGAAAGACAGAAAATAGTAGGTTCCAGCTTTTCAATGGGAAGCTGTATTTATACTCACCGAATTGATACAATGAATAAAACGTCTTCCTGCTCTATTTTTATAGCAAGCTAAGAAGGGAATTTACTGCGAAGAAAATATGTTTATGGTTACATAAATATCCAGCTTTTTTATATGTTTAGTTGTGCCCACTGTGGTTAGCAACAACTAGTGGAGTCAAACCCACAGGGACTCCTTTTCTTTCCTTCCTTCCAGAATACTCTAAAAAAATTAAAACTTTCTCAATGAATATCCTGGGGAAAATGTTCCTCAGAGTTCTTTCCCAACCTTGTAATAATGGCTCATATATATCAATGATGCAGCAAAACAAAAACAAATTGTATCAAGTACAATTGATGCTTAATTATAAACTGCTACAATTGATACTTAATTATAAACAATTGTCCAAATAGGGTGGCAATGTAAATTTTTAAAAGACATTAATGTCAAGCCCCGGGGAAATTCAGGCAGTTCAAATGAGTATAAAGATTAATTGCAAGCTTAAGCTCTCTACAAGAATCTGAGCTATTAATGGTCAATGGAAATAAGTGGAAGTTAAGGAAGGAATTCAAGGTGGGCTGGACTTAGATCAGTGGTATAGAACCGGTAGTAAAACCGGCGGGAGGCTCCACCCACTGACCCTAATGTCATCAAAACACTTCTGCGTTTGCACAGAAGAGCATGCGCGGCCCCATTGCAAACTGGTGTAAAAATAAGTAGAACCCACCCCTGACTTAGATCTCTTGTGGGCAAGCAAGGACTCATGACTGATGATGTTTGACCCCTCCCTCAGGCTCAGCCTGGTCATCTCCTACATAAATAAGTAGTATGCAGTACTTTATGGTTTTACAGGAGAGCACCAGGGGTGGGTCTACTTACCTTTACTACAGGTTTGCAATGGGATCACGTGTGCGCTATTGCTTTGCTAGCGTGCGCACCAAGCTTCTGTGCATGCTCAGAAGCTTCTGCGCATGCACAGATCGCCTATGACGACATCCAGGGTGGTGGGCGGAGCTTCCCACTGGTTTTACTACCGGTTCTTACGAACAGGTCCGAACCGGGGGCAACCCACCACTGTAGAGCACATAATCTAGTTGGGGGTAAACAGTATTTACAGGGTGTAATATAATACATTTTAAAAACCATATTTAAAAATTAAAAATGTATATAGTAACTGTATATATCTAACAATGTGAGTCACACATTATTCTGATTGGCCTATTTACTTCAGATTTCTTTATTTGCTGCTCTGTTGGGTAGGAGCTTAATCTTTCAGGTCCAATTATAAAAGTGTCTCACCTGGATATTCAAACATTTCTTCTCCTCTTCCATAGTAGCCTTAGAAACAGAGGAGGATTACAGGTCTTAATGAAGCATAGCAATCTCACAAAGCAGTTGCAGAGAGCAGTCACAAGAACTAATACAATACAACTGTATAGAAAAGCAGCACAAAAGTCTGGAAAGTCCATTGGACTATTCACATACACACACACACCATAGTCAGCAGTGTTTCACTGGGAAATAAAAAGTAACAACTTCAGATGTGAAATCTGCTGTTAGAAGAATTTTCTTGGCCAGATTTTCTGAGCCCGTTCATGAATAAACACAAATGACAGCTGCTGGACGTAGAGTAGCTTATTCATTCAATCACATACAATGGTTGAAGGTAGCTTACATCGTTAGAAGTCTACCAGTAGAGGTAGATATAATGACAAGCAAGCTTTGATATGTGCAGACTCAGGTGCTCCTGTCCTGGGCTTTGATCCTGAGG